AGGTTCTGGTGTCGATTAGCAACGATAACCCGAGTCCTCTCATGTTGTTTAGGGTAATGCAAGAATCTATGTTTAGATTTCGAGAAATAAACTTGTAAAATACACCAAAATAGTTTCCCCACTTATCACATCACCAAAACTTAATCGGTATATTAACCTGCAAAATAAGATTAAATAGGCTTGCTGAGTAATGCAATTGTTGACTGCAAAAAAACATGATTCAATTATAGGAAATTATTAGCTTCAGGAGCGAGTAGTCAAAAGCGATGATAATGAAGACGAGTCTTGATCCTCACACGAAGACGAAAAAGGTAAAGCCAGACTTGTTGCCATAGGCAACCAAAATAGCCACCGGATTATCAGTCGGAACTCTTCTGGCTTTACTATTTGGCTTGACTATAAAAGCTCAGTCAAGCTTTATAAGTTGAAGCGAAGAAGAGTTGAGCGGGGGTAAGACAACGTCAAACAAACATTTACGCGCAAACTCAAACATATGATACTAAGTCTGCACGCAGTGAGTAGATTTCTCTTTGGATGGGCAAGATTCTTGCTCTCTTTAATCACTTAAATTAGTAACAAACATGCGAAACACGACAAGGGGGGTTCTTCAAAAGAAATTCAGGCCCAAAGAGAGCTCGATGTGAGCAAACTAAGTAACATTGATAAGTTAATGTAGGAAATGTGGCACATTTCAGTCTAGACTTGTATTTAGACTAGTTCATAATTCTATAAAACTAGGTTTAATTTAAAATACTTTTAAGGCTGCTAATTCTCAAGCGATTCTGACTATGAAGGATAATAATATTTGCTTCATGGTAGCCAATAGTTTGGAAGACGATTCACGCCTGTCTTGTTATCTGACAATATGTTGTAAATAAGTGCCAGCCAACCTAAATGAATCCTCTTCTAGTGTCTTCAAAATGTCTTTATAATTAAGGATGATGGAAATAATCTTCCTGAAAATAAGAAACTTGCTCGGGAAAGGCAAATCAGCTTCTTTATATTTGACATCACGTAATGAATGTGCCAAATATTTATTTCTATCGAGATGCGTAAGGTGTACTGACCATAATTTCATGTAAAAATGTCTGGAACGGAGATTAGTGGATTGATCTAACCAGAAAATGACAGCACATTTCTGTTGATTCACTATAATTTGCTGTTATTATGAAGTAAAGATTGACGCAGTTTATGCAGCATCTTTATTTATCTCTAATGAAAAGATGCTTAGCATTCATCTTATGCTAATTTTAGATCGCATCAGTGCTGGATCTTGTTCTTATAAAAACATAAATCCTAAATCTAATTAAATAGATTAATCAACTCTCCTTAATATGTTATACTAAAAGTGTCTAGACTTAAATAGCTACTTATATAAATATTTAATTCTTTCCCTTCAATATCAATCCAAATGATTGCCTATTTAAGTGCACGTGAGTGCATGTCTATGTTTGAAAACCAAGTAACGAATCATGATTGTCACTAACTAGAACAGAACGTTGTTTAAATACGGGATCATCAAAGCCTCTAAAGCGTCTGATTTTTGCCCCTGAATTTACTTTCTCAAAGCACCCCAACAGACCTGTTTCATTCTACTCTTAAGCACCCCAAGCGATATCTGATGTACCGATATGAGAATGTATAGACAACTACACTAACCAACAGTCCAGACTAGCCTAAGCTCTTCCAGCAACATGAGGACCAAGATCCTCCTTGCAATTCGAGGCCCTGTGGGTCAGCATTTTCTTTTGAGAGTAAAGTTCGCTGGAAGAGCTTCGTGAATTGGCACCTGCGGAAATCGAAGAAGTATTGCCTCAGAATGAAGAGTGTTAGTGTGCCCTGTCGGCCCGATGAACTCGTGCAAAACTTTTGTCTGTCATGAGACAAATATCTTCAGGGCGAGCAAGTATATTCTACAAAAGGTCTGGGCCAACTACAATAAGCCGAGAAATAAGGGTGGTCCGCTACAACCAAACTCACTTCTTATACCTAACTTTGCGATCATTATGAGGCATCCAGTGGTTTGGTTAAATATTCTTTGCCTAACAGACATTCTTGCAGATGAAGGAGGTTGATGCATAAAAAGGATTCGGATGTAGTAGCAGTTGGTACTTTGCCCAAATAAACCAAAGTTTGATTCTGCAATGAAGTAGTTTGTTTAGGATATCTGGCTCAGCAATAAAAATCAAGACTCAGGGCTAATAATTGGGTTCAAGAGACTTCTAAAGCCGCCGCCACTTCAAGTTAATCGACTGTTAGGAGATGTGGAAGAAATTCGGGCTTAGAGACAATTGTATTCTAGCAAGTTGGTCTGGCTAGAAGATGATGGCAAATTCCCGTTATTTCTCATTCGTTTGACTTTAATACGGCGCTCATTTTGACATAAAAATGAAGCATCCTCCCTCACATTGGCCGAAAATAGGCTGTATTTTTTGTTACATAAAATGGCTATCTAGACTAACTGATGAGCTTTGCTTTCAAACAAGTGATCTAATCGAAGTTAGACTGCAGTTACGCCAAATGCTAGGTCTCATCAGCCCCCCTCCAAG